AAAATTTTATCTCAGTTCTTTTTACTATAAAAAAGTCCACTTTTTCACCATTATAAAGACAACTAAAGAACAGCAAATGGTGAAAAACCTATTCCTTTTACTGTAACCATATAATATTATTCTTAAAATCATTGTACACAGAGGCCTTGATTGTGTACCATGCAGTTCTCAGTCATCTCATATGAAACAACTAGTTGACAAATGCTCTGGAAGAGAGTAAGGCAAGTAAAATAATCTACATAGTTTAAGAATTGAAATTATCCACACACTTATTATAATGCTGGCTGATTCTGTAGTGCTGAAGTGAAACTGTTTTTTAAGTCATAATTTAGTTTGTATATGGAATGCAAATTTAAAAAAAACTTAGAAAAATTGTCACTAAGGCAGTCATCAAACTTTAATACTGTAAAGTCAAGAAATTTCCATGTTAAGATCACATAAAGTGTTTACAGGCTGCAATGTATGATAAATGTACAGTTTATATAGTTTTCATTATTCTAACTGTTTTGAGATTCAAAATGCACAGCGTTACTATCCCGTTGTATAAGTTAGCATAAGCTGAAGGGCTCAGTTGATGGAAAGAAGTTATGAAGGAAGTAATGAATGACATGCCATACTTGTGACAAATGAAGCGGTTGTGTTTCCTTTAGTAAGGCATCAGTCAGGAAAAAAGGCTGAAGACCAAGAATAAAGTGGCAGAGAAACTGGGATCTAAAAGCACTGACAATGAACAGCGTGCTGTTTTTAAACATTGAGGGTGACATCCTGGCCCTTAGTGAAGTTAGTAGAAACCAGCTGCATGATCCTGGGTTTTTATTCCAGGCTAAGAAAACATTAATATCCGATATTCCAGGTAAGTTTGTGCAGTGGACATAGTCAGAAAGACGATGCTTTCCTGAAACTAGTGCCCTAAAATGTACGTATGTTAAGAGTTTTGTTATATATTATTTTCTTTTAAAATTATGCTTGGATGAAGATCTACTCATAGGCACTGACCAAACTAAGAAGAAAAGATGTCCTCTAATCCAAAGAACTGAAAATGCAGTTACCTCTCCAGAAAAATCTGCAGGGAACATTCAGAGAATTTATTAGATATAAGTATTGATCTCAGTAAACCTAAGCAACCTCACCTATCTTCCTTGTTAGTAAGCAAGACTCTTACAGAACACTCTGAATGAATATAATGCAGCAGCTTTGTTAGTATTTAAGGCTGGCTCCTCCTAAATATGGGAACAGCACAGGAGAAGGCGTAATAGTGTGTGTCTGGAAACTTAATAACCAGATGATGAGGAAGGCATCATCTGGGCCTTTATGACTAAAACTATATTTAAAACAATCAATGAGGTAAATCAGCAAAGGTACAAAGGCCATGAGAAGTACTGGTGATAATAATTACTTATATACAACATTCATCAGACTTATTTAAATAAATAAATATAATATTTAATAAAAATAGTCTTTAATTTGAAAAAAAGGAGGCAGCTGATGAGCCTATAAGATCATTAATTTCTTGAAGGAGACAAATAAGAAATTGCTATTCAAGTGTTTCTGATAACATAACTTATAAAATTACTTTGAAGGACATAAAAGTCTCAAAAGGGAAATGCTTTTAAATGATTCACAAGTAAACTGCAGAACTTACAGCACAGAATGACTTGGCTCCCAAATTACAAGTGAGCTCCAAAAGTAGTTAGGGAAGTTCATGGCAAAATGATCCACGCAAACCAATCTGAACACCGTGATGCAGATGCAGTCTCCCACTCAGAAGATCCCTAAAAGTGTGCTTAGTCAAAGGCTAGGAGAATGTATGAGAAGAAAGCATCACTTGACTATTTGCCCTGATTCTTTTCCCAATTAGCAGTTGGCTAAAATCAGAGACAATAATAGTGGCAAATTGCCTTTTGTAGCCATCTGTTGTGTTTTGTTAGCTGTGACACAACAGAGCAGTTTTGGGTTAAATCGTATCTTTTTTTTTTTTCCTATTAGTCTGTAGGTACAGTATGCTGCAGTTAGGCAGTGCATAGGTGTGATGAATCTTTGAGCAGTTTGGATTGGCAGACCTTTCTTATAAAAGATGTTGAGGTAGTATGGCTTCAAAAAGGTGTAGTGATGATAAAAATCTCTGAAAACATCTGACATCTGGATCTGTATAAAACTTGGTTTCACTAGACTGCCTAAGCAGGTGCATTGCTCTGGGTGGTGCACTCATCCAGTACAATAAACAGTAATAAAACATGAATGGTCCCATAAAATTATATTGATCCAGTGCTTTACCATATGATGTCCTCACTGGAGAGTATGTTCCTATCTGCAGGTACAAGGACTTGTGATGGAAGTTCTTAGTCCACTGAAATGAAACAGCACTCAAGATGGGTTCAGTAGATACCTGTCCATATGAGCGCAGCTGTATTCATCATTGCCAAGTTGTATGTGACATACAAATGTAGAAGCAGCTTTATTCTTCCAGCTCAAAGGAAAATTAAACTCTCTTCCCCTTCCCTTTTCCCTTCGCTTTCTCCTTCCTCAGTAGGACTGAAAATTCCACACCTTTGATGTCAGCCTTTCTGGTGTTTTAAAAAAGAAGTTAAAATGAAAACAGTTGAAGGTATAGAAGATAAAACAGTGTAAAGTCTATGTAAAGATACCCCAGCTGGCTTTCTGTTGACAAGTCTGGATGTTGAAAATGGCTTAGTTGTGGCAGCAAGATCCCTGTGGCTACCAAGATGCAGCTGAGGACTTTGAAATGGCTAATTTGTGCATCTGAGCTTTGAAAATGGCAGACTGGAAATGATGGCTTTAAGTTGAGATCTCATCATAAAAAAGACATGGCCTGGTTAATTTAGGATCGGTACTTTGTCATTTCTGTCCAGATGAACTGGCTTCCATGGGCACTGTTTAGAAACGAAAATATTTTCATTTGCAAATTATCAGTGTATTTTGGGATTGAAAAAATTATTGCTACAGCACAGCAGTGTTCCTCTGCAACAGACTGCCCACATGGAAAACCATTCTGGTCTGCCCTGTTGCTGAATATCTTTATGTGCACAATCATTGCTGGACAACTCACCAAGCAGAAACTATTAGTGAGTAAAATGTTAATGTTAGCTTTGTAGTATTGCTTCCTTTCTTGTTCTTTTGTTAAACACCAGTATTTATTGTAAGGATCATGATTATTAAATAATTCCTGTTTTAAAGTTTCAGAATGAAATGATAACTTACGTACCTTAAAATACTTATTACAAGTTTAAAAATACTTTTTTTTAATGTGTGCTGTTTAACTCAAATACTGGTATATATCTGCAATAGATCTATAACTAAACAGGGTAAGAATTTACAGTAGGTGACACTGCTGAAATAGGAAACGTTACATATTTCTCGAGACTATGAAAATGCCACTAGTGGCAAGCTTGCTCATTTTAGCTGCGAGAACTGATTTTTTCAAGAATGACATTTATGTAGTATATAGTTGTATAAACTTAGAGATACATGTTTCATATCCGACTGAATTTTTTATTAATATACTGAAAGCTTTCTAACAAGTGTAATTGTTTATGATGATGATGATGATGATGATGATGATGCAAAATCCACAGTAACAGTGGAGTTGATTTGATGCAAAACAATGCATGGGCATGTTTTCTTGGAGTTTTATCATGTCTGTGTTTTAAGAAGTACTTTTGCTTTCCTGTCTCAGTAGAGCAATATTTTGGGAAACTCAGTGTAAATCCTTATCTAAAGCATATTTTTCTTCACCAAATAGTTGCAACAGTAAAAACAATTGTGTTTGCCATGTAGCTAAGGCAATGCTGTTACTGTGGATTTTGCATTCTCCTTAATGGTCTGGAGTTTACAGCTCTGTTGCGTGCTGAAGTGCTTGGGATATCTGCTGAAGATTAAATTGTAGCCTGGCTGAATTATAAAATTAGAGCAGAGCACACTGATCCTTTGCTGGTTTATTGCTTGGAGTAAATAAGTGATGTAATCAATTTACTGTGTAATATATATTAATATCATTGTTTCACGAATATTGACAAAAATCTTTTTAAACTTGCAGCAAGTAGTGGCAGCAATAAATGCAGGAATCATACCTTTAGGAAACACATCTACTCAGATCAGCCACTGGGACTTGGGAAGTTCCTTCTTCTTTGCTGGCACTGTTATTACGACCATAGGTAGGACACAGCTTATTATCTTTTCACAGTAAATGAGCTGAAACTCTTTTGATTTACAGTGTGTACATGTATTTGCAATGGTAAATCTTCCAAATTTTCTGGTTTAAAATAGAGAGTTACTTTTTAGCTGCAGGAGCAGAAATTATAGGTGTCCGTAAGGATCTCTAGCGAGTAAATGATTCTTCTGAGGAAGAAAAATGTTGCTGTATATTTCTGGGAGGTGACTAGAAGAGGTTGTGGAAACATTTCTGGAGGGAATTTGGTCAACTGTGTAATCACAAGTGTTAAATAGGGCATGATTTAAAGCACATGTGTATTAAGCCTTGACTGAGATGTGTGGAGTTTCAAGTCTGTATAATAATTCTTTATTGTTTTCTCTAAATGCTGAAAAAGATGAGAACGTGGTAAAGATTGTGTTCAGCTTAATTTAACCAGTTAAGAGTGTTGTACTGACAGCCAGATTTACATTCAAAGGCTTACTTTGAGGCTTCTGTTGCATTCAGAGAAGTCCAAAGCTGTAGGGTGATTTATCTGTCCTCACAAGGCCAGGGAGTTTTCTGGATCCTTTTGGCATTTGAGAGCCACTGTCCCTCTCAGCAGGTGTGAACAGGAGCAGTGTTTCATCTTCCCGTTTCTCCCCTTTGACTCCAATACAGTGCACATGGTATACAGTTCAACGATGTAGTGTAGCTCACAGATCATAGAAGAGGCATCCACAAAGGTGGCTGGAAATTTGAAGAAATTAAATGAGAGAAATTTAAGACCTAATTTCTGAGAGTGATGTATAAGGAATTGTAGTACTGTTACAATAATTATCTCTACATCATATATGCATATTGTGATAGAAGGGGATGTTCTTTTCACGTGTTGTATGTGCCTTTATTCTTTATTTAGGTAGAAGTGCATGAGTACTATATTTTTTGTGTGTTTGAGTATATACATGTCTATGTATATATATAAATATTAAGTATGTGTGTAGTATTTTTTCACATCTAGAATAACTGCAACACAGGTTTTGTGAAAACAGTGAAACTTTTACTTCTCCAAGGTTAGTAACAAATGTAATAATTTTATAGCAGTAGGTCCACAAGGTAACAAAACAAGTTTTGAAAAATGTAATTTTAATAGATTCTAGCCAAGAAAAGCAAGAACTTTGAAAGGATAGCTTTATGTTCAGTCTTACATTAGCCTCTTCTGACAGCACAAAACTTCAAGTTGTAAGTAAGTATCTATGGTCCTGTAGAAAGTGCTTAATATTTCTTTCAGTTCCAAATAAGGATAGAAGTTAACATATGAAAAGTGTTCAAGGAGTTAAATGATTCAAAAATGATTTTAAAACAGTGGAACATTTTGTTTCTAAGCAAAGCTAAAGCTTTTCTAAATAAAATTGTTTTCTGATCTAGTTTGTTGACCTGATTCAACCAAAACATACATGAGTCCTGCTTAGAGGAGGGAGAGGGATCTGCAAAGGCATCCAGGCCACAGATCCACTGTCCCCAAGAGGCAAGATAACCCAATAAGAAATACATGTGAAAATTAATATTTCAGGTCATTTCTGCAAACCAGAGTCATCAGAAGCAGGTCAGACTAGGCAACCGTAAATATTTATTTCAAGTTTTGTAATAGAAAACAGAAAATCTAGGTAAATTAAAAAATCCATAAAATATTTTGGCTTTGGAGTAACTTGTGTTTTTCATCAGAGAAGCTTTCTGATGGGAAACTCCCACTCAGTTGCAGTTTTGCACTTTGTTTCTTTGGATCTGAGGGCAGCATGCTTACGTGAAAGCCATAGTATGGTTCATGTTGTCTTACTGCTATGAACCATTTTCCCGATGGCTCACAGGGCTTGCAGTGTGACAGCAGGCAGAGTTGTTGTGAAAAGCCCTTGGAATTGTGACTTTCCCAGGAAAATGGTGACAAGTCTAGAGGTTATGTGTGCTTTGCCTTATTTTTTATATTATTACATGCTATCAAGTAATTTTGTGTTCAGAGCAATATCTTTTCATATATGAGTAACCTTCTGAAAATGAAGGCATTCCTTCTAATTAGGGGGCATATGGTTATCATGTAACTTGATATTTTAATTTCTCAAGAGGGTGAAAGTGTGGTTTATGAACATCTCCAGAGATTTGCCATAGGTTTCAGCCAAACACTACAGATATTCTCTATGGACAAGGACAAGACCATATAAATTAATGAAACAACTTTACAGAAACTATTTGTAAAAGTGATTTTATAAATAAGAATAGTGTTTATAAATATTATGTCCTTTAGACTGTATAGCTTAAGAAGTAGTTGAACAGTAGAAAAAAGGATTATTACAATTTCAAGAAAATAATAGCTTTCCAGTGTTGCAGCAGATTCTCTAGCTTTCCAAACCTCTTTTTACTATAATTTTACCTTATCATTTAGCCCACTGCTGTTATCTCAAAATCCAGGAAATTCAAATGGAACCAAGAGTTTATTTTTGTATAGTGTTTCCCAAACCTTTCTGTAATGACAGTAGCACTTGCATCCCACAATTGTTTGGTTCCTGGAGAGAGGAGATAATAAATAAAGCCTTTAGCATTTCTCTAAGCAATAAGTTATTGTTTTACTGTTACTGTTATTATTGTATCACAGTAGTGATGAACATTTAAGTGAAAAATATCGACTGTGTATTTTGGTGGCTATTGGCAGCATTCCAGAACCATCTGTAGTTCCTTACTCTTCTGAGTCTACTGTAGGCTGCTGGAAGGCTCTGTGGTAGGGACATGTAAATCTACTGAGCTTCAAAGCCATCTGACAAAAGCAGAGGTAATACAAAAGAAAGCATGGCTTGATGTTTACGTAACAGATCTTTTTATTCTCATAATCCTTCATGTAGTCCAATAAATGTTTCAGTGCATATTATAAAATTAATAAACTCAGTTTTAATAGAACATAATCTGTCATACTGCTACTAGATCTTTCCTAAGGAGTGGATTTAGCTGAGAGGTCAGGGTCAAACAATTTCACAAGACTTCATTTAGAAAAGATCCTTTGTAGCTTTTTTGCTTTTCCATGTCTGAGTGAGTTGGTATTGGCTTTGCATTTACTACTCTGCAACAGCATAAAAGTAGTTTGAGGAAGCAACCTCACTGATTATAGGTTTGACTTGCTTAGTTGGATGTTCTCACTTGTGAATATGTTTCTAGAACAAATATGCCTCATCTCAACAAAGAAATGTGAAACTACATGATTACTCTGCATGTATGGAGCAGTTTTGGACGGTCCCTAAGATGGAAAAGGATAACAGGGGAAAATAGGAATGCAAAAATTGTCTGTGAAAAATATTGTTGCATTGTTCCTTCGGATACTGTGCATGCTGCAAAGCACAAGAGAGACTCCGTTTTTCTACCTGAAAATGTCATTATCCAGTCAGTTCCGTTCTAAGACAACATGTCCAAAGAAGGAAAGAGAGTTGAGAAGAAAAGCAAGAAAAAATGGTAATTCAATAATAAAGATGGAGATAGTGCTGAGGAAGAGGGTAAAAGAATCTTTATGTCTTTTTATTATGAGAGGTCATTGTTGGTACTGTGCAGGGCTTTTTATCCTGTATCATTTCCTTCAATACGTAGCTTAACACAGAAATGGGCATACGGACACAATTGGTGCACACTCCGCTTCCCCCAGAAGCTTATAATTTAGATCCTACAAAAGTTTTATACTGGCAACAGGGTAGGAAAGGAGACCCGTCTCAAGGGAAGCTTGAGACCTGTATCTAGAACAATTGAAGAACAAAGTAGACATGCCAAGGCCTTGAGCTTAGCAATTGTTTTCCCAAATGACTGCTGTCTCAGCACATAAAGAATGTAGTGTCAACTGTAATATCAGAAACCGTATCATGAAAACCTCTACCAGACTCCTATGGATATTCATCTGAAAATAGCTGTACTATTTCTGCCGTTATTGCAGCCAGTCTGTAATGACTTTTTGAAGTATTGGAAGTGGACATATAGAGGAAAGGGTACTTATTCAGACTCCTGGAAGATGGAGTGTCTTGAATAGCAGTTGTGAGCATGTTGGAATTCCCAGCAACCTCACTGGTGGCTGCAGTTTGCCAGAGTGCATCCTTTCAAAGAGAGCCATGTCTACATAGAGGTGAGCTCTCAGACCTCCATTAATACCTCAGCACTCAAGGATACTTTTCAGCCATATTGATGTCCAAATCCAATAAATAGCTGCTAATAACTGTGTCTACAAATCCAAAAAAGGAAGAACACATAATTTCTTTTTGTACTTTTCCACTTTTTTTCACCAAGCCTTGATTTTTGAACCCAAACTTCTCATATGCCCTGGAAATTGAACCTTTTGAGAAGTTCACTCATGACTAGTCTTTAACTTGGTTTCATGCAGCTAGCTATGACAGTTATGTTTTTTGGGTCCAAAAGCCTAGCAACTGTTATTAAAGAGTGCAAAGGAATGTGAATATTTTTTTAAAAAAAGAAACAGATTGTAAATATTTATTTTTTTAGGGGACAGTTGTAAAGAACAAGCATCTAAGATTCTGAAAAATTGAGTAGAAATCTGAATTTGGTTTGTCACTTTCAGAGTTGCAATTAGTTATGTAGTTTCAAGTGCAATTTCACTGTAAGGAATTCTTTCTGCCATTTTCACACTGCCTGGACACAAGATTTCTTGTGAAGGCAGGGTATCTTAAAAAGTCTCATTACATTGCTTATTGATTTGAAAAAATAATAAAATCCTGCTGCTAAATCTGTCCCTTCCAGCACTGTTTCACTACATTTTTAAAATGTAAAGTAATGTGTTGATAATGAAAATATGCAAAATACGTTTGATGTTATAAGAAGACAAATACTGTTGATAATCAAATGTGTTACCTATTATGTCAGATAATCATAAAGGTATAAAACTGCAAATGGCATAGAAAAATTTGTTTGCTTAGTTCAGAAAAGTAAGAAGCATCACATACTTATGTTAGAACGTTTGGGTTTGTTTTGTGGTTGGTTGTGCCACCA